TTTGCTGAGTTTTTTTTCATCGATCGTCCAGGGTAGCCACACTTCAGATCGCTCCTGTGTAAGATATAGATCCATTGCCCTCAGATGCTCTGCGGGTAGTACACCAAGTTTAAACGCATCTTCGTGCAGTATGGTATGCATTTGTTCAGGACATCTGACCAGGAAAGCGTGTTCATGGTGCGCAGAAATGCGGTAGTACGCCTCCAGGGCCTCTCGGGCCGTGTCCAGGTCGACGTATGCAGGGTTTATGACGATGGGCTTGGTGTCACGCGGAGTACGGCCAATCTTGGGATGCATGTGAGCTGTCGTCCATCTAAAACCGTGTCCGATAGTAGGACTCGGAGACATATAGCATGATGCCAGTCGGTGATAGTTGTCATCCCAGATGTAGTCGTATATCAAATCACGCAGTTCCCGTGGTAGGCAGGCTTGCATCTTAGTAGCGAGGCAAAGACAAGATATCTGCGCATGTGTTTGAGCGACTTGATCGAATGAGCTGCCGCCGATTGATTAGTAAATTGATAAGAACACGACATGGTGTTGACATCGCGTACCCTCCTCTGGACAAGCCCTGGGCGCGCATTGCTTCCCTTTTCAGCCCTTGTAGCCTCCCGTTCTCGCTTTCGTACTCCCACTTGCTGTCTGCGCGTTATTACCGACATATGCTCCGCACTGAACTTACTGACGATGTATGCTTGCTCATAGCCGCTACGATTCTTCTCCTTCCCTTTTCCCTCTTTCCTATGTCGCTGAGCGCCTGGAGATAGCTTTCTATCATCTCGTAGCGCATGACATGCTGGGATAACCGCCTTTCTGCAGCGGCCAGTTCTATCTGCAAGCCAGCCTCGCGCCTTTGTAAAAAAGCTTGTCGTTGTGTAGCCATGACGTCGGTTACGTGGTTGTAACGTAACATCGTGCAAAACACCGAAGTTTGAGTTGCGACACCTGAGAAGCTGGAACGCTAGTCCTAAAAGGGCGAGGTTCCGTTGCTAGTACACGAAAGACCTCGGGAGCGTATTTCCAAAGGTAATTACACAAACGCCCAATCCCAGAGGTGCAGCATCGCCCGGGGTGGTTGTTTTGATAACGGGACCTCGCAAAAGATGCTCTTTTGACCGCGGCATCGGGGCATATGCGGTGGCATCAGCCGCATGATAGTCAGCACTAGCTCGCTGGCTAGTTCCAAGGTTATACGAGGCGCATTATCTTGCAGACGTAATCAATCTGAACCATGTACACTGCAGATAGGGAAAGATCATGGGCGTTGAGTGAGAACAGAGAAATGTGCATCAAAATTAACTACATAAAATGGTTCCTCATAGCTTCGACTTAGATACGATCATAGAGTTGCCAATGTTCAACCACTTGACAGCATCTGTGACGAGCTCATCCACAATCTCCCTCGCGTTCTTCCTCTCGTTAACAACGGCAGCGACCTTGCCCATTAGGAACGGCCGCGCGTTGTCCATAGTCTCGTCGTCGAGGTCGTCGCCCATCTTCTCGAGATCATGCTCGACAGGCAATATGCCCTTGGCAGTAAGATCCTTGATCTCTTGTTGCCTGTTCTCCTCCCAGTTCTGGACGTATGGGTTGGTGCGGATGCGGAGTGGGCGTCCGGTGAAGATGATGGTGCGGATGTTGTCGTCCCAGCCAGCTGTGCGGACGGCTTCTTGGTGGGCCTTGGGCGCACCGGCTTCCTCGGAGAGAACGAAGCGTGTTCCGACCCAGACACCGGTGGCACCGAATGTGAGCATCGCAGCGAGCGACTGGCCGTTGTAGATACCGCCGGCAGCTACGATTTGTACCTGCTCGCCGGTCAAAGGCGACTTGTGGCCCTCGACCATCTTGACCGCTGCTGGGATGAAGATGGATGTGGGAACGTCGCCAGTGTGTCCTCCGCCCTCGCCTCCTTGTGCGCAGATGATGTCGACGCCTATATCGAGGCACTTCTTGATGTGCTTGGGGTGGCCGATCATGTTCATGTAAAGGATTCCGTGCTTGTGTAGCTTCTCGACGACGGCCTTGGGTGGGACACCGACGGCGGAGACGAATAGTTTGGCGCCGGAGTCGATGATGATGTCGACGAGCTCGTTCAGCTTGCCCTTGGTGTAGTCGTAGCTATATGCCGTTAGTCGCGTGCCTTCTGGCATGTCATGGATCGCCCTGTACGTACTTGGTCTTGCGCGCGCTGCCTCCAACCTGGGGAAGGAGCAGGTCGATGCCGAATGGCGCGTTCTTGTCGTTCAGGTATCCCTTCAACTCGGCGATCTGCTCGCGGAGCATGTCGGGTGTGTATCCGACACCGCCGATGACACCAAGACCTCCAGCGTTGGTGACGGCGGCGGCGAGCTTGGGTCCAGCAGCCACGTTCATGCCCGCAAGCATGACGGGGTGCTGGATCTTCAGCAGGTCGGTAAGCTTGGTGCGGATTTGCTCTGAGGTTTGTCAGCTGGGCACATGTGAATGAGGCGTGGATGCGTACGTGGAGAAGCCATGATGACGGTATGGAGGTTTGCGGTTGAGAGAGGGAAGATGCGAGGTATTTCAACAGCAAGAAAGGAAGACGAGTGGATCGAGGATTCGGGCGAATTCTTAAGGTTTGAGGAGTCGGGCCCTTTCTTATGGTTGAGGAGTCCTGGTCGACTCTCTGTAAGCCGTGAGCCGAGGCACGACGCATGTCTCACGCGGAGAGCGCTAACCGCTTATCGTCTAGTGGCATCCGGGGAAGGCTGTCGGCATCGCGCGCCTGCCTCTGTCTGTCCCACCGCGTCACATGCTAACATGTTCACTAATGCATCCAGATGTTTAGCCACGCTCAGGGCGGCCCCATCACGGTGTCCACGCCGTGTAGCGCTCTCAGTTGATGCCATTCACAGCAAAGTCTCTAATCGATCGAATTTTCACTCGTCACCCACTCAACGCCAGGAGTGTGATGCACCCTCCGACTCTCGCGTTCCGCGCGAGCCTCCATCGCAAGATGTGCGGAAAGTTTTTTCTTATAAACCAGTCTACCATAAGAAGGAACTTGCCGTCGTTGCTTTGGGGAGCAACATGGGCGACAGAGCGGCCATGATTGAACGTGCATGCAGAGAGATGGAGTCAAGTGGAAAAATAAAGATCGTACGAACCAGTAGTTTGTGGGAGAGCAAAGCCATGTACGTACTCGATCAGGACAACTTCGTCAATGGTGCCTGTCAGGTATGCTATATAATGTCTCTTCTTCCAAACGTCAAATTTACGCAAACAGATAGAAACTAGTCTGTCACCAATCGAACTCTTAGACGCGCTTCAGAAAGTTGAGAATGACATGGGCCGCGTTAAAGTCATCGACAAAGGACCCAGAAATATTGATTTGGATATTTTACTTCATGGAAACGAGAAAAGTTCCAGCGAAAGACTTACGATCCCGCATGCGTTGATGTTCGAGAGGCAGTTCGTTCTACGCCCTCTTGTTGAGTAAGATAATCATCTATCTGGCCAGTGAAACAGTGCTGATCCTCTCTAGACTTTTGCGCAATCAGCGTGAAGATTACCCATTCTCGAATCAAATTAAACGCCATTTCAAAAGACTCCTTAAATCAGAGGTGCCGCTGGTGCCGCTGACGCCACTTGGACCAGATCTATCCCCAATATCGTCTTCTCGAATAGCGAATAACACGAGGATCATGTCTATCCTGAATGTCACACCGGACTCATTCTCCGATGGCGGCCAAAACTACAATATCGATGAAGCAACCCTAGCGAACATCATTCGCGAACACATCTCGGCCGGAGCCACAATCATCGATGTAGGCGGACAGTCAACACGACCCGGTGCCGTCCAGGTCTCCGCGGAAGAAGAGCTAGCACGTGTTCTCCCAGCTGTAAAGCTGATCCGCTCAATGCCAGAGGCAAACAACATCGCAATCAGCGTCGACACATACCGCGGCAGCGTCGCCGAAGCCGCCATCAACGCCGGCGCAAACATGATCAACGACGTCAGTGCAGGTGCCATGGACGACACGATGCTTCCCACCATGGGAAAACTTGGCTGCACAGTATGTCTCATGCACATGCGCGGCACGCCGGAAACCATGACCAGTCCTGAAATGACATCCTACCCCCACGGCATCATAGAGACCGTAGGCCGCGAACTCGTCGAGCGCGTTATTGCTGCGGAACATGCGGGTGTCAGGCGCTGGCGTATCGTTCTCGATCCTGGTATTGGCTTTGCGAAGACAAAGGAACATAATCTTGAACTCCTTCGCCGACAGGATGAGTTGATGAGGTATCCGGGTCTAGAAGGCATTCCTTGGCTTGTGGGCACGAGTCGGAAGAAGTTTATCGGCGATATTACGGGGGTCCAGGACGCGAAAGATAGGGTCTGGGGGACTGCTGTTGGGGTGGCAGCGGCCATCAGGGGTGGTGCGCATATTTTGAGGGTCCATGATGTTAAGGAGATGGCGCAGGTTGCAAAGATGGCGGATGCGCTGTGGCGCACGTGAACATGACGCGACGCGACAGTCTTCCAACGATGTTCGCTCTCGTCCTCATTTAGTGGGAGGTCTCAGGCGTCATTTGTGTTGTTGGTTCCGCTCCACGCGGTAGCGCTCCGGTTGGTTCCGAGTCCTTCATGAGCGTGGTTGTCGACTCGGTTCCACAAAACCTAAACCAAACAAAGAATACGTAGAAGGAAAACCTGTAACCTCGAACAACATCCCACTTCTCTTTACCATCAACAACGAACATGGCGAATCTACGTGAGCTCCATCAAGAACTGCGACGCGTACAGGACCGAGTATTTCAGTAGGTGGTTACCGTACCAAGTCGCTGCCTGTTTTGACTAATTCTCACAGGATCAAACGTCGTCAGAACGAGTGAGCACGTTCATACTAGACGCTGTCAAAGACATGAAGGAAGCTAACGGTCGACTCAAGTGAACTATGGATGGCAAGTAGCTACTCTTGGAGTCACGATGATTGGAACGAGTGGAAAGCGTGAGTTCTTATGATTCCGAGAAGATGCAGTTTCACGGTGAGCGATAGCTTACAGACACAGTCTGAATGAAGAACTGGAAGCATCGTACGAATCACACTCAAAAGCCTGGAACAAACTTTACTATGCCAGAATGCACGACCGGCTACCGCGCGAGATCCGAGATATGATCAATGCTGAATTCTGGGATGAAAACTACTTGACATGCGGAGAAGGCTATGAGGTAGCCATGAAGGCTAATGACGAACCCACACTTCGCCATATATCGTTACCTCATCGTATCCTGCGCATCTCCCACGTCGTCCTACCAGAGTACGTAGGAGATGCAGCTGCAAAAGAGAACGTCCAGATGTGGTACGAGGCCTACGGAGCCATGACCTGCTCCCGCGACTGGCTCGCACTCGGCCGCCGCAACATAAGGGAAGATCTCACAAGAGCTATATGCAAAGATACATTCGGAGTGGGCTTGGATCCTGCCACTGCTCTCCGAAAATTGACCATCGAAGTCTCCGACACCTCTCTCGTGCTAGACCACGAGCAATCCGACTTCAAAGATGCTACCTCACGTCAAGACGCATTCAACCTGCTTCATCGCATCAAGAAGAAGAGAGGGTTCAAGCTCGAGATCAATATTCGCCACGATTGCATCCGTCTCAAGATGTGGCCCGAAATCCTTGGCCTCCTGCAACCCATCGTTAAGGTATTTGAGCAGGAAGGAGCCCACGTTCGTGTTTTGTCTAGTTATGACCCTCACCGCACGAATTGCATGGATGAGAGCCCGGGGGTTGGCACCGAGATGGAACACCTGATCAGGACATACGATCCGGTGACTTGGGAGCAGAGTGTGAAGCAGGAAATGATCGATTATTTCGAGGGGGTGAGACAGTTGCAACTCATCTGAATGGTAATATCTGACAAGTGATTTAGATCGATGATGAGTATCTCAGACCGTACCATCGCTACTATCGTAGTGAAGAAGATAATCCAGGCTCTGATCCTGATGTCGCTGCCTGGAAACGTTATGTTGGGCCCTCTGGTGTGCGCGGAACGGGAGGATGATCAAGCTCGTTTGGGGGGAAAGATGGCAGCTGTCACTGCGTGGATGCCATGTCAATCTAACTCTTTTAAACCACATGCAAATGTACCAGTTTGGCACATGAGGCGTTCAATGATCGTGAGGCCACCCATGAAGCACGCATAAGTGGGGCAAGCCGCGAATTTAGCGCGACTTCTACTTGCGAACATGATGATGCTCTACAATTCACGACGTCCAAATGAGAAAAAACGCTTTTGACTCAGACTGTCATCTTCTCTCCTTTCGCGCGATACCACCACCATGAGAAGTTTATACGACTTGGAGCAAGATGTGCGCGACACGTGTAATAGACTGTTCATGTTCGTATCTCCATCCTCATACACTGCTGCCTGGACTTCAGAGAAACTGACCTGCCTAACTAGCCTGAAACGCGCGAAAGCTGCTGCAGAGAAGAGGGAGCGTACAGCAGCAAAACATGAGTGGCTATCAGCAGCGGAGAAGAAGACGGAAGTGCAGATGTAAGTGGTCGCCAGCTCTACCCAATTTTATTTGTCGCTGACGTTGCTTGATACATAGCGAGATTGATACATCCTGTGAGCAGTTATCAAGAACTTGGAACATGTTATGCTCTGCTAGGATGCAAGAGCGATTGCCTGTCGAGATTCGCGAGATGATATATGCACAGATCTGGAATGTGGAGTATCTCAACTCCACAAGACAGCCAAGTCAGCAGTCTAGCTCTCTTGGTCACACCGATCCAAGGTGCCAGACACATGTTGTTCTGCCCGACTTCATGGGCAAAGAGACAGCACTGGAGATGGTGCAAGCATGGTACGAAGCCGCAGCTACAGTCACACCAGACACCTTCACAATCCCCGATACCCGGGAGTTGATCCAACAAACCGTGTGTGAAGATCGCTTCAAAGTCGGTCTAGATCCAGCAACCGTTCTTCGGACTCTCACCATCGATTTCGACGAGACCACGTCTAGGCTCGCTAGTCCGTATTGTAAGTGGCCAAACGCGGCTACACGGCGGAAGACTTTCGATCTTCTCCACCGGATCAAGAAGAAGACTGGATTTCGACTCAACTTTCGTATATGCACTCCTAAGTTCCGATTGAAGTGTTGGCCCGACTTCCTCGATCTCATGCAACCTATAGTCAAGACATTGGAGAACGAGGGCGCTATCGTCGACGTCCAGGCTATACATTGCAGTCGGGGCCCTCATCCGATGCCGTATGTCTATGTGGACCTCAACAAAATCGTCAGAGGCTATGATCCAAACACGTGGAAGCAGGGTGTTTTCAAATATCTTGATTCGGTAATACTGGCCCTCGCATCATCTCATCTTCATGCAAGTACGGCGCTGACAAGCAGAGTAGATATGTTTCTGTCGCATTAGACATCAGGACAGACATTATCGAGGGGAGGACGAGCCGGATTACAATCCAGACGATGGGCAGGAGGATTATTGGAACTGGGATTTGCTCGAAGACACAGGCTTGCGACCTTCTGATTTTGATAGAGGGTTGTCGAGACAGAATTGTGGTTGCGATGGCTCCGGGAGACGCAGGTCGTTTGAGTCTGGCTTGTAAGTGGTACGCAAACAAAGCTGTAGGCTGCAGGGAAGTCCCAGAAAGGAAGGCGGGGACGGAAACGTTAATGGATAGGTGCGGAGTCTTCTTCGGTAGTTGCAGCTCGCTGCGCTTCAGGGTTGTTGCTGAGACAAGGGATCGGAATGTTCCGAGGCTGCCGCTGTGCCGCAGGCCCGCAGTCGATAAACATGCAGTAATCCCAACTCTTAACTTCTTGACCCCCTCCCCCGAGGGCCGTACGTCTCACACTCCCCACGCTTCCCACAGTGTGAGCTCATCGCCATATACAGCCGCAACAATGGATACAGACCTGGAATCAGCGCTCGACTGTCTGCGCGAGTGAGACGGACTATTCGGCCCCACTTCGCTCTTGTGCTAACGAGCTGGCAGCATCAAGCGGAAGGACCTCGATGCTCAGAAAGAGTATGTGAATTCCAGAAATTCTCCAATCTCTAAAACTGTACTAAAAACTGCGTCAGGGTCAACTCAGTCAAAGATGAAATCGTAGCTACTAATGCAAAGCTCGATGCGTTACAGAAACAACGCAAAGAGATGACGAAAAAGAAGATTGATGCGCTTCTCCGGTAAGTGCATAGAGCTCGGAAACTTGAGATCATCCCCAGCTTAATGTAGTTCTACCCACCAGGAATCTTCCGTCAGCTATCCGGCGGTACTCTGCAGCCTGGAGTCTTCCATTCTTCGAGATGTTCCAACAACGTCTACCCCGCGAGCTCCGAGATATGGTCTATGCGCACATCTGGGACAGTAAAACTCTGGCCGATACAAACAGAAGTATGATACCCATCATGGACTCTCGTTGCCGGAGTTTGCGGCAAGACTGCAAGAAAGCCATGACGACGTTCGTCGAATCGGATGCGATTGACGGCTGCCATCACAACCTGGCACCATACTTTATAAAGCCAGTTTTCGTCGGGCAAGACTCTGCCCTTGAAATGATCGAAGCTTGGTATAGTCGCTTGGCTCGCGGCAACGACTACTATGCAATGGGAATACATGTGACTGACATACCGTCTTTCCTTCATCAAGACAAATTTCATGTTGGTCTGAAGCCTGCAGCTATTTTGCGAAGGCTAGCTGTCGTTTTGAACGCTGACTCAACAATCGCGATCCTCGAAGAAGAATCAGACGGCGAGCATGTTTATAAGCTCCACTTCAAAAGGCTTCTGTCCATCGAGAAGAAAAGGGACTTTACGCTGACTCTTCGGGTCCTCCAAAAATACATTAGGCTCAACGTTTGGCAGCGGATCTTCGACACATTTAGGGATACAGTTGTCAACTTTGAGAAAGAGGGAGGTCGTGTGCGGGTCCAGTTCGTGTACGACAGCTTCTACCCACGTCGAGTACCGAAGTATGATATGCTCCCCGCTCTGAGACATCCAGAATCCAACTGGCGAGAGGATGCAGTACGCTTCTTTGACAATGTAAGATCTTCCCGTCATCCATATCCTACTCACTTCATCTGACCATATGCGTGAACCAGGTTACACGTCTGTGCGACATACACAGGGCTTATCGTATCGAAAACAACGACGATTATGACCCCACTTCACGTCCCGAAGATGGCGATACTCCTTACGGGACGGATGAAGACATCTACAGCGATGAAGGCGATAGCGATGACAGTGTTGAAAGGTATCGCCATGATGGTCGAGGAAATTATCCAGGTGCAGTGTCTTCGCCACGTCAGTACGGAAGTGACCTCATACAATGGAAGAACGACTTGCTAGAGGATCTCGAAATGGAAGAAAGTGAGGCAATCAAAGACATGTACGAATACTGGGAGAGCTTCGACGCGCCCAGCTGGGTGGGTGCCTCCTCTGAGTCTGAGCACTTAGATGGACCTGGGTACGACCCAGATTCAGGTTCCGATTGAGAAGGCCGGAATAGCATCACGTGATTACTTATCTCACTCGGGTTTACTACCCTTACTAGTTAGCTCCTCAGCCATTTCAATACATATGATGCTCCATAAATCTCTCGCAACCATCAGACGTTCGTGAACACTGACATATACCATGTTGTATGGATGATATACTGCGGCCATCTTAATAGTGCAGGGATTCGGATCTTCGGAATGCTAGCCGGTCCGATGCCACTAGAGCGCGAGCGCCTATCCACCGTGCCACCTCATATTCCTAGCAACAAGACTTCAACCCCCAAGGTTCATCCGCATTGATCACGCCACCCAAAAACAGCCATGGAGAGAGCAGCTATGATCGATTGGAAGCTATCGGCTGAGTCCGCAGTGCAGCGGCTTCGCGCGTAGGTCTTTGGGCCCTGTCAGCACCTCATGTCGGATCAGTTCTAACCTAGTTGCAGCATCAAGGGTATGGAATTAGACGCGAACGATACGTACGCAAAGCTCCTAGAGCTTGACTGGTGCACCTTGTGCTAAAACCTCCCAGAATTCGTACAGCTACGCGAACTATCTCAGCATTGAGAAGGCAGATCAAAGCATTAAAAATCGAAGAAGCAAGAGCGCGACAACGTAAGAGAGACGTTCGGCGCGAGTAAGTCTTGATCTCTCTGAACTCGAGCAAAGACCTCATACAAGACTCCAACACAGACACCTTCCGTTAGCTCTCTCGGCGTTCACCGCCTCATGGAGTCGCCCCTTCTTTGAGCAAATGCAACGGCGTTTGCCTCGTGAAGTTCGCGACATTGTATACGCATACGTCTGGGACGACAAGACACTGAAAGATACTCGTATAACATATCATCCTAAGTGGAATTGCACTGGGGGCGACATAGATTGCGACACTTTAGTAAAAACGCATCACCCGGGAACAGTGGACAGCTGCCCTAAACATGGACAAATTCCTTACTTTATGAGACCTGGATTCGTAGGGGATGCATCGGCCTTGGAGATTGTCGAATCCTGGTACAAGTCGATCTCAAGAGTAAAACCCGACATATGGGAATTACGAACCACAGACGAACTCGACTACGTTATCCGTGGCGACGCCTTCTCTGTCGGTTTGGATACTACAACTGTTGTGCGCAAGTTGACACTCAGGCTTACTACCGACGGATTCCTAAGGAACAAGGGCAAGGACACCAGCGAATCGAAACGAACTGTCGACGCGCTGCTCCAGATAAAGAATAAGGCGAATTTCAAACTAAGACTGCGGTTGGAGCAGTCATACCTCCAACTGAATCCCTGGTTCACCGTCTTCGACATCTTCCGACCCATGATTGAGAAATTTGAGGAAGAAGGCGCGGACGTAAGGCTGCTTCTTGTCTACGCCCAAGATCTTATACCGAAATTGGTGTTCAACATGCTCCCCGCGTTGAAAAATCCCGAATCCAACTGGAGAGAGGAAGCCGCTCGTCACTTCGATAGTGTAAGCACACTAATTCTACATCGCTCGCTGCCTCACACATAGTGACTTACGAATATATAGGATTCCCGCGTACGCGAGCACCACAAACACTACCGCATCGAAAACGACGCAGACTACGACCCGCGGGAACTTAAGAGCAGGGACTACAGCGAGGATGACTGGGAGTCAGACGATTACCTAGGCTATGAAGAAACTGACTCTGACCGCGATGAATATGGCAAATCGGTTTCTCCGGAACCTCCATGGACTCCTTATGAGCCGCCACGGTATTATGGAACTATGTTTAGAGAGGATCAGATTGAAGAGGGGTATGAGCTGGATAGCGCGAGTGAGGGGGATGACTAGAAGGCAGGAGGCTTGTCAATTTGTTAGAATGGGCAGCATTGCTCGTAAAGCTTTAGTATCTTACAAGAGCTGCGTTTACTATATATATATACCTTCTGAAGATACGAGGAAATAGACATTATCTAGCCTGATTGTGATCACCGGCAGGTGATAGCCTGCTAAATACTGATAGATACAACATCGTAACAATTATAACGCATGTCAGCTAACGAAGTAGCGCAGAGATTCCCGACGTCATGTCGTCGGAACGCTAGCTGTTCCTACGCCACTAGAGCGCCTTTCCACTTCGTGTATCCAGCCACCGTGCGTCAACTTCCACATTGCGCTGACCCTGATCAGGCTGTCTAAGTCCAGCCACGGAGACGGCAATGGCCGATGATCCAAAGCCACTGGAGGAGCTCAGCCCACGGACGCGCATCCGACGTGAAGACGAAAGATTGCGTCAAAAGTAAGCTCTAAAAGCTCAGTAGATCGTGACATTGATCTGATATGGCGTCTGCCAAATAGATACCGTCCCTTGGTGAAAGCGATATGCCGTGTCTGCGCAACATGGAACCTTGCTTTTTGCGAACAAATGCAAGCGCGCCTCCCCTTGGAACTGCGCAACATGGTGTACAAGCATATATGGGACGCGCCTACACTTCAATCAACACAAGGTTCGATGGCCTACCTGGTCCACCGCCGGTGTAGAGGCGCACGTAGAGGCAAGGAAGAAGAATGCCAAAAGGTGGCCTCGACGTACGAGCCAGGCACAAGATACACCTGCTACCTGCATCCCTGCTACATGCATACCTGGACCCCTTTCTTCGTCAGGCCGGGATACGTGGGCCAGGAAACAGCTCGAGAGGTTGTGGAGGCGTGGTACAAAATCATCGGTACATGGTGGCCTAAGGTGTGGAATATAGGGGACCTTATTGAGCTTCAGCACATTATACGCAGGGATGTGTTTTTCGTTGGCCTAGATCCGTCAAAGTTCCTTCGCACTCTGACGCTTGACCTCCATACTGAGAATCTCTTCACGAGTCGTGACGGCGAGTCGACTCAGGATTGCATCGACTCGCTCCTTAGCATCAAGCGCAAAACCGACTTCAAATTGATCATACAATTGAGGCAGAGGAACATCAGCTTCAACTCATGGTCTACAGCTTTCGATGCGCTCTGGCATGTGGTCACTGTGTTTGAGGCCGAGGGCGCACACGTCGAAGCTACTTTTACCTACGACAAGGAAAGTCTCTGTCCGAAGATTACCTGGGACTTACTTTCCGCGCTGAAGAGTGGTAATGATGACTGGCGCGTAGAAGCAGAACGTTATCTGAACTCCGTAAGTGCTCATCTTCATCACTGTCATCATCTTCACACACACACACACACACACACACACACACACACTAACACGACTCTTCAATCCAAACAGGACAGCCGGCTTCGCTCACGACACAAGGTCTACCATCAAGCTAGCAACATAGCGGACGTCGAACATTCCGACGAGTCAGAGTACGATCCTAATGATGAAGTCGAGCCCGAGAAAGACGATCTACGCGATAACAGCGACTTCTACATGGACAGTTTCATCAACAGTCTTCCAGATTTGGGTCGGGGAGACCCTTTTTATGGGACCTATCTTGAGCCGAGTGACTTCAAGCCTCCTCCTCCTCCCAAAATACGCCGGCCGGTGTGGGAAAACTATATACGGTGGAACGAATAGGGGCCTTGTGCGGAATAAACGGTGGTCATGGTGAGGGCTTCTAAGTCGAACGCATATTCTGGAAGATGGACTCATGACATAAACACTACATATATACAACAAGGCATCAACACCCGTCAACACCTATAAACCTCCCCTTCTTAAATCCTCCACATCTACAACTTACTCCCACCCCCCATCAGTTCCGCACCAGCCCCACTAATAGCCAGCTTACCCGTCTCCTTAACCTTAGTCTGGAACAGCACGGTATTACCCACCTTCCACATCTCGGTAATAAGTGTCTGACCAGGCAGCACAACACCCGCAAACCTGACCTTGATGTTCTTGAACGGACCATACGTCTGCAGAACGTGCTTGCCTGAGATACCAAAGCTGCACAGGCCGTGCAGAATGGGTGTGGGGAAGCCGCCAGCTTTGCTGAACTGGGGGTCGATGTGTAGGGGGTTGAGGTCGCCGGAGAGACGGTAGATAGCAGCTTGCTCCTCGGTTGTGCGTTCCTCGACGACGGTGTCGGGGGCGCGCTCCGGTGCCTTGTGGATCTTCGTTGCGGCGCCGCGGTCAGCACCCTTCTTCTGGCCGCCGAAGTTGCCAGAGCCGCGGATGAAGACTGTGCTTTCGTTGTAGAAGATTTCCTCGCCCGTCTTTGCGTCCTTGGTTACGCTTCCGTATACGACGAGCCCTGCGGCGCCCTTGTCTACGACCTCGACTAGCTTGGGTACGGCGACGAGCTTGGCTTCGGTGGGGATGGGGAACTTTCGGATTTCGAGGAATTGCTCGCCGTGGAGGAGCATGCGCGGGTCGAAGTTGGGGACGATTTCGTCGAAGGAGAAGGGGGGTTCGGCGTTGAAGGGGGGCACGACACCGAAGGTGGGGATGACTTGGAAGTTCTCGTCGCCTTCGTAGACGAAGGGCAGGTCGGTGCGCTTGGCGCCAATTCCGAGATCTGGGGATAGTGTTAGTTGTAGTTACTCATACCGAATGAAGCTGACTTACTGTAAAGAATGACATCCCTCTCGGTGTACTCGAAGGGTGTGCCTTCAGCCTTAGCGGCCAAGGCCTTCTTCTGAGCCTCGAGGACCTCCTCGTTGCTCTTGGTGGGCTTCTTCTCCTTCTTGCTCTTCTTGCTCGTGTTCTCCATGTTGGCCATGATAGACTTGAGACCGCTAGCGTTGTCGAAGGGGTGGTCGGCACGGCCGTCGTCGAAGTTGGTAATGCGTTCCCATTGGGAGAGAACAGCCTCGGGAGTGAGCTTGACGTCCACGGGGAAACCGTGTCCGCCAGAGCGTTGCCACCTGGTCGCCGCAAACCAGCCAGAACCCATCTCGTATAGGCCACCTGTTGGCTCGGGAGCCTTGTCGGAAACGAGAAGAATGACGAGAGGAGCGTTATAATCGGGCTTGAGGGCCTGTACAACCTCTTCAGGAAAGATGCTGCGGGTCATCTGAGTGCCGGCGTTGGGAGCAACGGTGTTGACGAAGATGTTGTTCTTCTTGCCCTCAAGAGCGAGGGACTTCGAGAAACCGAGGATACCGCACTTCGCTGAAGCGTAGTTTGCCTGGCCGAAGTTGCCGTAGATACCACTGGTAGAGGTGGTGTTGAGGATGCGGCCGTACTTCTGCTTGAGCATGTAAGGCCAGGCGGCCTTAGTGCAGGAGTAGGTACCGAACAGGTGAACCTTGTGGATGATGTCCCACTGCTCGTCGGTCATGTTGGCAAACGCCTTGTCGCGCAAGATACCAGCGTTGTTGATCAGGATGTCGATGCGGCCATATGTCTCAATGGCGGTCTTGACGACAGACTCGCCGTCCTGAACATCGCCCTTGTTGCCGACAGCCTCTCCACCGAGCTTCTGAATCTCCTGGACGGTGTTGTCGGGGTTCACAAGATCGTTCACGACAACCTTGGCACCACGCTTCGCCAACTGCAAGCAGTAGATGCGACCGAGACCAGCACCTCCACCAGTGACAAGAGCGACCTTGCCCTTGAAGTCAAGAGGCTCGCCCTTGGGGTTGGGCGGCAGCTGGTTGGCATGCTCGAGGAGCTCAAGCGCGTTCGCCGGGCCTTGTGGGTGTTCAGCCTTGGAGAAGTCGACAATATCCTTCCACTTGGCTGGAACAGCTTCGGGTGTGAGGGTCTCGTCGGCCTTGAACAGAGCACCAGAGGCTCGCTCCCATCGTAGCTTGGCGACGTGACCCGCGCCGGCCTCGAAGATAGCGCCAGTCTCAGTGGACGACTTGTGTGTAAGGACAGCGACGAGCGGGACAATCCACTCAGGCTTCATCTTCTCCAAAACATCCGGAGGCATGACGGTCTCGGTCATTCGGCTGGCGGCGATCGGGGCGACGACGTTGCAGAGGATGTTGTACTTCAAGCCCTCCTTTGCGAGTGTCTCGGTGAAACCGACAAGAGCGAGCTTGGCAGCTGTGGAAGTTAGTAGACATTCATCTCTTCACAAAACGCATGTGCATACCAGAGTAGTTTGTCTGTCCGAAAGATCCGAAAAGACCGGCAGCAGACGCAGTGCTGATCACCCTTCCGTACTTCTGTTTCCTGAAGTATGGCCACGCGGCATGCGCGCACTTGTAAGCTCCAAGGACGTGGACCCGGTAGATCAGATCCCAGTCTGCCTGCTTCATGTTCTTGAAGCTGACATCGCGCAAGATACCCGCATTGTTTATGAGGATATCAATGCGACCGAATGTGTCGATAGCAGTCTTGATGATGGACTCTCCGTTCTCGACCGAATCGTAGTTGGCGACCGCCTTTCCGCCAGCGGAGCGGATGGTGTCAACGACCTTGTCTGCGGCCTGTCGGGTGAATTAGCTATGAAGGAGGATCTGTGAATGGGATGACATACCGCTGAGCCCGCGCCCTCGCCCTTGAAGCTGCCACCCAAGTCGTTCACAACGACGTTCGCGCCGCGACTGCCGTAGAAGACAGCGTACTCGCGACCGAGACCACCACCCGCGCCCGTGACGACAACGGTCTGGCCGTCATATCGCAGCTCCTGCGCAGCCATGATGTGTTTTCTGTGCTGTTCGAAGAGGCTACCCCTTCGTTGTTTCGCGGAAAGAAGTTGCGCTTGAGGAATCTCCTATGCAAGCAAGCAACAAAGGTATTTGTAAAGTCGAATGGGTATCAGCAAAGATCCCACGATAGAAAGGTGTATGATTTGGAAAGTGTGAGGATGAGAGGATAGGTGGCTGGATGCGTGGAGGATGGCTCAAAAGTAAGGTCGTTCGCGATCTGACCCGGTCGTGTCTCATGAAAGCAGCCGAGCTGTTGATGATGACGAGTTACCTCGGTCCCGACGGCAGTTGGTCATGTGTGGGGATTGCGCACCGTGCACCTCACGCTTTCACATGTCCGCGTCTTGCTCCCCATTATCAGCTGGACGAGTCCGGGGTATCACATGATAGTGATTAGAAAGTGCGCAATCTCACACTCGCATATCCAGAGCGTGCAGTCTTGGCTGGAGAAGTTCGATGAGATGATGATTCTTGAGCGCATGTGGGGCTGCGAAATGCGCCGCGTGAGGCCCGAACACGTATCGTACGCGTCCTAAATATCGCGATTTCGTGGTGCATTGGAAACGGAACAGATGCGATGGCGGATGTGTCTTTCCATCACAGCTGTACCATGCACTGAAAGTGACGGCTCCTTCTTCTTGGTCATGTCACCAAAAGATGGGCGTCCTACCCGAACAATGCATCGAATGAAGCACTAGCAACAGTTGTATATCCAGTACAGAGGAGCTCGTAGACTTCTTCGTGCTGCGTGATGGCGTTCTGATCAACTTCCATCTACTAAACGTCGCTGAATCAAATAATGTAGAGCCTGCCCAGGTGCTGTTGAACCTTGGTCTTATTCGAGGCTTGTTATTCAAGCGCAGCAAGCCCGTGGTCAAATACCCACACGCCAGGCCCAAACCTTATCACCCGACTAAGCACAGTCGACATCATCGATCCTTTGCAAACACGATTCTCCTCCAGGATCATTGCAACCCACTCAACATCTGCACTATGCCGAAGGCAACGCGGATCCAGACCCTCATCGTCACCGCTTGTTGCCGGCCATTTGCTCGCTCGCTCAAAGTCAAGGCCGAGGGACTCCACAGCGCTTTCGTACATGAGCGTCCTGGGTACCATTCTTGCTACGCTGGCTCCCATCATGCGCGGTTCGGCCCGTTGACGGACTTGACCGCCGTAGGTATTCGCGTACCTACCTTACCGAGCGTTGAGATCTTCTGTAGTGCACCTATTACATGCCGTGTTTTATTACTGTCATTGAGTAGAGGCGTAAGGCGTCGAATTAGCGGAGTCAAAGACTTGTAGACACTGAGCAGGGGAATGTGCGCCGGACGCTACCATGACCGACATCACACCGACTACCACATGACGGATATTGTATAGTGAGGCAGACGACAATATTCTGCTCAGTTTGTGGCCGGAAATAAATTTCGCATCTCTTTGAATTGCGTTTTTCGGTCGACACAGGTGCTCAAGAGTTTCTCGTAGGAACAAGCCGCGAATTCTTCCGGTGTAGGTGAAATTGTTGAAAAGTTTCTGCTTGTGGTGCCTATATGATGCACTACTTTCTAATGCATCGGAGTCGATGACATAGCCGAATACGGAACGGGAAAAGCTCGCGAGGAGGCGTTATAGGAGTAGTAATCATCGTCGACATACCAGCCTCAAGAATCATATGGATGTAGATTTTCGATGTGCGATTGTGGGCACGAAAACCCCCACAGATACGGGTGGGTGTAACCCGTGCGTCTCATCTTCCTTGCTTGATCCGGGTCGGATGAACTTTTCTCTTGTCACGAAACAAATGCCTGTTGATTTCTGGTCGAAATCGACATCTGAAGGCTACGTTTTTGCTAGAACGCCTCTGCTATCAGCGTTATCCAGTTCTGGCGCCCCTGAGTGATCAAATGACAACGAGTGTCGCGTCAACAAACCGTATACATCTCGACAGGCCAAAAGTCGTGTGGGGGGCTTGGTCCGTCTCCGACGACTGTGCGTCTTTGCATACATGTGGAGTTTCCATCGCATCCATCGCATCCATCGAATGTGCGTGGGCTGTGATGCGGAGGTGTTGATTGGCTGTTTCCCTTACGAACCCATCGGCGCCGTGTGAAGTTGTCGTCCTTACGTTAAAGAAAGTCGGAGATATTGCGCGGCATGCTCTCTGCCTAAACATGTAGCTGGCCGAGAGTAGGCTACACTAAGCCTATAGTTATCAACCGGCAGCTGTCATGTTAAGATCCATGGATTAATGAACGCACAGGGCAGCAGGGTTGCAACACCTGGCCTGTTAATCATCGAAGATTCTGATAGCCGTGGCGACAATGGGAACCCCTAGGCGCTGCGTCCAGTCATAACGTATACGTCCAACAGCCACAAGAATGACGTTGTGGCTTGGCTTTGATGGGCCTGTATCCCGAGGCCATGTCAGCGGTGTCGTTTTTCGAGAAGGCTGTCAGCGGGGCCATCCGTCCGGGCATGCACCACGTGCCCTCCAACGACCGAATCTATACACTAGCGCAAGCAATGCTTGCCTTCACGGCGAATCGCTTCTAGTGTAGCGGAATTGCTTCCGGTGGCATTTTTGTCTAACATGAGTAGCAAAGATGTCCTAGTGAAGAAAATCCAGGTAGGTGGAGGTGGGCCTCTCCCTGTCTCACCTGACGCTGAACACTTACCGCATATGCCGATGTGTCAAGAGTTGCAACGAGCCAGATACGAAATTTGATGATGCTTCGCAGCAGTATGACTGTGAAGGTCTTCGGATGAGTCCTTTGTACGGGAGACGTGGACCCCTGATTGCCAGTCCGCAGTGGCGACACGCCTTGTTTTGATCCGACTCTTAGCGAGTAGGATGTTGAATGGAAGCAGTGAAACGATCTGCTCATCTTTCCGCCTTCCAAAACGGATATTGCTCCCGCCGATGCAGTAGCCTCTCTAGCTACATATGTCACCGGATCGTGGGGACTATCCTGATGCTCAGAAGCAAGCTGGAGAGATAGCGCCTGGTTTTATGGAGAGCGAATGTGATCAACCTTGGTCATTCGTGATTCGAGACTTGCGGCCACTTCGTCAGCCTGCTTTTAGTGACGTTTCCTCTCGCCACGATATCGGATAATTTTGCGCCTTTGCCGAGCTTGTTGCCAGCTCACAGCGATACGCAGATCGCAAAGTCTACAGCGTCGGGCTATCGTCGTGCTGTTTCCATGAGGTCCGCATCATCGCCATCATACACCACAACTCGTCTTGGGCCGCCCGTTCCATCGTTTGTTATTGCCTGCGTATCCCGCCGTGTTCTTCGAGACGTGAGTGACAATGAGCGAAGATACAGAAACAGTTAGCGTCCACGGCCGAGAGTTCCAAAGAACATCCCTCGACGAGGGTGTCTACTACGCCCCGGTGGCCTTCGACGACCGCGAAGAGAGCAGACTGACAGCTCAGCACGAAATTGTGTCCCGTATCTTCGGCGATGGACTGTTCTCCCCTCGAATACCAGTTGGGGAGCCCGAAGCGATATTGGAGTGCGGCTACGGCGGTGGAGACTGGGCTGTCCAATGCGCAGATGAGTTTGAGGATTGTGAGGTGCGTACTTGACCCCATGACAGCCATATAAGATGAGATTGATACTTCCAATGTGGCTCGTATCGATCGTAGCGTGTTAACAGTCTCAGGTAACTGCTCTTGATATCTTCCCCATGTGAGTTAAGCCTGTACATAGGGCATGCGGGTACGAAAACTGAGCAGTCGTCCCATGTCTAGGCAGATGGACCGACCCGAGAACCTAGACCTGGTCGCTCATAACCTCAACGATCCTCTTCGTGATCCCGAAATATTCAAAGCGAATCACTACGATCTCATCCACTCGCGATTCGTGTTTCCAGGCATTAAGAGCGGCAGATGGAATGGATACATCAGAGATATGAGGTTATTGCTACGGCCGGGAGGTTGGGTGCAGATAATGGAGTATCTGCCGATTATCCAATCGCACAATGGACGTCTTACGGACCAGAATGCTGTGCGAAGATGGTGGCAGGAATACCAGGGCGCCATGGCGGACATGGACCGTGACCCGCGGATAGGTCGACGGTTGAAGCGGCTGTTGCTCGACAACAGATATCGAGACGTCGACGTCGACATAGTGCAGCTTCATATAGGTGACTGGTCGAAAAGTGAGTCTCCCGTTGTGTTCCAACGTTGAATGTTGTCCGATCGTGGGAGGGAATGGATCTTTCACTGCGGTTGGCCATCACCCAGTACTCCGAAACATCCTACTGAAGAGCAGTACTGACAGTCGATATACAGATGAGACCCAAGCTAGCATTGGTAGAGACTCTGTCGAAGTACGTATGCGTCCCAGTTGTAAAAGGTGGGTATGTGCTGACTACGCGTCATCCGTCCAGATGATTGGTGACCTCCTTGAGTCACTTGGGCTGTGGCCGTTCACATCGAAACTGGATTGGACAGCTGCGCAGTTCGAAGACCTTATGCGGGAAGTTCGTGCAGAGCTCCAGAATGTGGAGCTGAACCTATACATTGAGCTGTAATGATGACCCGTCCTGTTTTATGGAGTATGTCTAATCCGCTTCTAGGTATGTTGCCAGGGGCCGGAAGAGCACTCGGTGATATCGTGTGCGTTGCCTCGCATCAATGTGGGCTACATAGCGTATAGTAGATGCCGCAGGACGTATGATAGTGCAGCTTGTGCACCCACGAGGTGTAGAGGGTCGGTCGACATAGGCGGTAGAGAGAGATTCTTCCTGTAGTAGTCAGACTTGTATGCTCAGATTCGGGTAGTGAATGCGACTGTACCTCATCCAGTAGCTGTCAACAGGCTACTCTCAAACTAGCCGGGCTGATGTGCACTTCAAACGTCCTCCAAACGTTCACAGTTCCAGGTTAGAATTCGTGGTGAGGGTTCCAGTCGTGCCTTCGGTTCCTTCAAGCTTCTCAACTCAAGGCAAACCAGAAGCACATTCGTCACTGCCTCCGGCCAAGAGACGGCGCCGATTGCAGGAGCTATTCCTTTGGTCGACGCAGCGGTGCGGCCGTGCTATGCCATCACGGATCTGTCGAGTTCATGACAAGGAGACCGGCGCGTGATTGTGGCATCGTGGAAGCTGTCTCCATTGCAAATAGTCAGCTCCAGACCGCGATGAGGGACTGCTGGTCAAACAGAAGATGGGGCGAATCGGTAGATGGTATGCAGCAGGGGAGCACAGCATCGGCACGGGTGCTGCGATACATGCACAGATGGAATGAGGATGAGAATTTGAAAAGGTAAAGAGGGTCAAACACACGAGGGAAGGTGGGGCGACTGAACAGGGACCAGGCTATGGGACGCTAGAGGCCCCGAAGAGTGAGGGTTCGTGGTGAGGAAGGAACCACCATCAACACCACCTACGTCAACCCTCGAGATTGCGTCTTTGCTCCCACAGATCGAGAAGGAAGGGGGGTAAACACAGCCGTCCGATGCAAATGGGATCTAATCGGTACCTCTCCTTGCCTGCAGCCCAGTTCCCCGACAGTCTGGTACCGAGATACGCGCTCTAATGGGGCGCTTTCCTGGCTAGACGCCAACGCCTTTGCGACTTCGCGACGAGACAGCCGAATGCCGCTTCATCGGCATCGAGTCCCCTCAATTGTGTCAGGCTTCGGCTTGCCGAAGTTTCCGCTACATGAAGTCTCTGCTTTCTCGCTACAAACTCTATACGGTGTTGTTCCCATCTCAGCACTACCGCTATCGACGTTGGACTATCGAGTGCTTTGGTCCAATATGGTTAGACGCATCCACCAGCGATAGCCTGCGCAAGACGCGTGCACCGGGGAAGCGGGCACGGTCAAGGAACCAACGGCTTCGAGGCGAGACACCTCCATGTCAGTATTGGCGTGCACAAAGGTTGTCTCGTCAAAATGTCGATCCGCATTCAGTACACGATCTAAGCATCCTAGCGACAGATCGAAAATGTACCAGGAAAAACAAATCCTCGGCCTTCAGCTCCAGAAGAAGCATATAAAGACAACACATGATCGGGCCATCTTCCGATGAGACAGGCCAACACTTACTTGCGCCATTCTTCTAATGCACCCCTTCCACGAAGTGTGCGAGCAAGAACTTCGACATTGGGATGTGCCCTTCGTACCTCAGCAGACTGTACACATGAACCAGTGTGAACGACATGCGGCATACAATAATCTCGCTCATCTCGCCGAACTCTGGTTCTCACTGCGATCCCGGGTTTTGTGCATCGAGACCTCGGCTGGAGGAACATTAAGCACGCTCGGCGGCAACCGACCGACACACCAGAACGTTGTGAAGCAACAACGACGTCACCATACATCCCCAGATCTAGTCTGCCCCAGACCCACCAGCCACGTGTGATCTCAAAGCATTCATTGATGGTCGCAACGGTGCCTTAGGATGACAATCCGGCGCGTAAATTAGCGATGACATATCGAGCATCACCGATCGAAAGCTGTCAGTGTATCCCTGACAGACATCAACACAAAGACCACGGTCAATGCAAGTTCATGTCGAGAATGCGACGTGCTTGTTATTGGCCCAGGTTTCAATCTCCGGTTCATCGACACCAGCCTCGGATCGAAAATGCACACCTGTTTAGCCTGATCCCAGACCGTCCACACCCATAAAGCGTATAGTTCCCGCGACCGGCATCATTTCCACGAACAACCGGGCTCGCGTCCCCAATTTCCCCGCGTACCAGCTGCAATTCATCATGAAATATTTGCCGACCTGGTTTAGCCCCATGCGTCGGCGGAAAGGAATGGCTAGTGCTTTGGAGAATTCCCGCCCGCGTCCGCCTGTTTAGCGATATAAGTACCTGTGTATTTCTCGGCGCAGATGCTGTCACCGGTAACCAGGCTATCTCACAATGGTGTCTTCTTGGTCAATTCGATTGCTCGTCGCTAGTTTAGCGATTACTGGCGGAGTCGCAGGGGGCTGGCGCGATGGGAAGTTCAAGACGTTGGTGACGTTTGGCGATAGTTACACGGATGAGAACCGATTGGGATACTTCATCAACAACAATGGTTCTGCACCACCTGTGGCATGGCAACAGCCTGTGGTAAGTCAATCGTCAAGCATAATTGCCTATCAACTTGTGCTAAAAACACCAGGGTCTAGCAACAGCCTCGGGTGGCCTCTCCTGGGCGCGATACGCCAGCATCTATTCCAAAACCAACCTCTACAACTACGCCGTCTCAGGCGCCGTATGCTCCAACGAAATAACACCCCGCTACTTCTCCGCCATCGACGCCCCCTTCCCCGACATCGCGGGTTACGAACTCCCCGCCTTCATCGCCGACTCCACGGCCACCACATCCAACGGCACGCAATTCTTCACCGGCAAGCCCTCCTCCACCGTCTACGCAATCTGGATCGGCACCAACGACCTCGGCAACGGCGCCTTCCTAACCGACAGCCAAGTTCCAAACAAAACCGTAGCCGACTACATGGACTGCGTATACACGCAAATCGACCGCCTGTACGAAAACGGCGGCCGGTATTTTGTTGTTATGAATCTTGCGCCGCTGAACCTGCTCCCTCAGTACCAACGACCCGGCGAAGGCGGCCTCCAATCAACGCAATACTACCCCGACACCCCCGGAAAAAACCTCACAGAAGTCCACGGCCGCATGCAAAACACCGTCGCAGCTCTCAACCAAGTCTACGCCTACCGCACGCCCTTTGCCGCGGAGATCGAGGAGCGCTGGGAAGATGCCAAGGTCGCTTCCTTTGACGTCAACGCGCTCATGACGGATATCTACTATAACCCGTCTAGCTATTTGAATGGAACGGGCGCGCCGTTGAATGTCCAAGGAGTGGAGAGTCTGTGTGATGAGCAGGGAAGTAATTGTACGAGCACGGATAGTCCGGATAGTTTCATGTGGTTTGATCCGTTGCATCCGAGTGAGCAGACGAGTAGGGTTGTGGCGAGGGAGTTTGTGGGGGTGTTGGGCGGGAAGAGTCGGTGGGCTAGTTATTGGGGGTGTTAGGAGGGTGTTGTGGAAGCTGTAAAGCGTGGAGGGAAGACATGAGCAACGTACGCAATATTGAAATGATAATATACGATCTATGCTTATCTTACAAACGTAGTCTTTTGTTGTAGCCCTTCTTTTCAAAACGCGAATACGCCAACCCGCTATGCTATGCCATGCCTATCAAAACAACATCCCACCCAACCCCCTCCCGCTATGCTATTCAAACAACAATCCATCCCCATCCACCATCCCATCCAACACAGATACCCCAAACTCGCTCTCAACAAAACTTAGATACTCCGACACCACCTCTCCAACCCCTTATCCCCACCCTTAACCCCCCTCAATACCTCCCCCACCTCCTCCAAACTAACATCGCACCTAACCATCCCAAACGCACCCACAGCCCCTCCCGTCAAAACCGGCATGCACAACCCCAACTCCACCAGCCCCTCCCACTCCCTCCGCGCCACATCCTTGCCCCACACTTTACTCGCACCACTGCTACTGCTCAGCCCGCCTGCCGCCGATTGAATGCGCGCGCGGCTGGCGAGGGTGACGTATTCGTCGTAGGCCATGTTGAAGTTGCACGTGTCGGAGTCGTGGATGATGTCTAGACGCGCGGCGGCGATGAGGAGGGAGAGGGAGAGCTGGGAGAGGGAGGGGATGAGGGTGAGTTTTGAGTCTGGGGACGAGAGGGTGGTGGTGGGTTGGAAGGGCGTGGTTGGGGAGAGGGTGGCGGTGGGGAGGAGGAAGGTGGTTAGGATTTTGGGGACGGATTTCGAGAGGTAGAAGGTTGGGGCTAGGTGCGTGGTTAGGAAGGTGGGGGTCGAGAAGAGTTTCTGCGGGGAAGGTTAGCTGGGTTGTGGATGGATACTATGGAGGGTGGATGGGCTTACGGAGATGTTTTTGTTCCATTGGGATAGTGCGTCTTCTTTCGTGTCGCCCTTCTTCCCCTTCCTGGCTGGCGTAGTCTTGGTGCCACCTTCTAGTATACCTCGTTCCTCGACGCTCAGTTGCTCGGGCTGTATTAACAAACACGCTTTGCATGTTTCTTGGAACGCGGTAAATGTCGTTGCCAGTCTGAGATGCACGTAGCGGTGGCTGAAACGACTCTTGACACGCTTCTCGAGACTGTTAGTCACGTCGATGCGTGTTGTCAGTCCTAAGACCGCGATAGGCGCTTTTCGTGACTGCGCGATGTCGAAGAGATTGTAAAGCAACGTCTGACGAGGATGTTGAGCGAAGAGGTCAAACTCGTCCATGACGAAAACGACGGCTTTGGCGACTTCGTCAGTTACCTCACCAGTCTGTTCGGATGGGTGGGACAACAGAGCGAGCAGGGTCGCTAGCGTATCAGCGTAGTTCTTTCCTGGGCCGCTACCATCCTCCTCGATGTCCATCTCTCTCCCTAACTGGCGCCAGATTTCACGGAGTGCAATCTTGTCGTCTGTGTGGACAAAGCCGTTGAGCCGAACAACGTGGTATTGGCCGCCGTTATCTTTGGAGACTTCAGAAAGGACTTTGTTGACGAGTGCCGTCTTTCCACTACCCCGGGCCCCGATTACGAGCATCGAGTTGCCCTCGCCAGCGGTGATAGTGTGCTCGACAAGTTGGTGCACAGACTTGTACTCTTCGTCTAAGCCCACCAAGGGGGATGGGCGTTTACCGGTAATACGTTCCATGACGATCGTCTTCAGTAGATCAAGTTCGCGGCCCGGTGCAATGTCGCTGTAGATGGCCGATAGAGCGAGCTTCTCCTTCTCCTTTTGCGCTGATGTAGGCTTGTTAAAGGGACTGGGTTCTGTGGGATCCAGCAAACTGTCCAAAATGCTGTTCCCATCTACCTCCATATCATCCTCGTCATGGCCATTGACCTGCTCCTCCGCATTCGACCAGCGCTCCTCGTCGTTGTTGGCGATGTGATCGGTGCGGTTGAAGCGTCTTCGCGCACTAGCAGTAAGCTTCCTGTTGCTTGTGGGAGAGCCATCGCCGAGTTCGTCCTCGCTTTCCGGTATGGTCGTTTGCTCTGCTGCTGGTTTTCGTCGCTTGGTGGACTTGGAAGGCGTAGCTACGACTACCTCTTCCGACTCGGGTTCTGTCGCTGCTGCCTTCTTTCGTGTACTGGTAGCCGGCTTTCGTACGGAGCGTGGCTTCGAGGTCTTAGCGGCTTTGGTTTCGTTCTGCAGCTCATCCGTCTCATCCTCCTCGGGGATAGGACTAGGGTCTCTCTTCTTGCGCGCACTCGCTCGTGGGGCAGCTGGTTTGCGCGCCGACGCAGCTGGCTTCCGTACAGCCTTTGCAACTTTTGCAGGTGCGATGACATCCGTCGATGCCTCTTTCAAAGCGGCCCGACTTGCAACTTCCGCCTTTGTAGGTCGCCCCTTTCCTCGCTTCGGTGGTGTGTTTGTTTGCGTCTCCTCCTTGTCCTGCGCCGCGATTGGCGTGTTCTCTTTGAGCGCTTTCTGCGAAGGTTTGCGGACCCGCGTTGGTCGTGAGGATATTTCGACGTTCAATGCGCCCTCGATGTCATCGTAGATGTCAATCTCTTCTTCTGCCGCACGCTTTGTCGCAGTGCCATTTGTTGCGCCCTTCAGCGCCCGGCCTTTACGCACTGGCGCTGGCTTCTTTTCCACGTTCTGTTCAGAATCGCCGTTCGTATTCGTCGTGGTTCGGGCTGCAAGCCTGCCAGAGGCTTTCCTGGTAGACGGCTTTGTTGACGGGCTCGATTCTGTGCGCTTCGGGGTGTCGAGCTTTCTCCGCTTAGAAGATCGTGGCGATTCGTCCATGGCGGTACTTGGGACGTTCTATTATCGTATTTGTATAGTTGATGGCTGTTGGTTATTGGGAATGCATCGTGATGGTCGTATGCGCCAAACGTTTCGAGATGGTGAAAGCGCTGGTCAAGGCGCGTCAATCCACAAGTCGCGTCGCGCTACAATTCCGCTTCCCGCCCGGGCGCCCCTGCATCATACCAGGAGTCATCCACCCTCGCTTCTCCATGTGGAAGACGAGCACCAAACACCACACCAGCTGAGCGCCAGTACTAACCGTACAATCCGTATGGAACATTAGACTGAGTCATCATGGCTCCGCAGTCGGGCTCTTGTCGTGACTTTCGCGCTTTCCGACGGGCCCAGGGCCTCAGAGCCCCACTCGACCGTACATCGAGCGCGCCCTACAAGTGATTCCCAAGCTAACGCCGTCACTACTTATCTCAACATACAATGGCGACTGTAAATAAGTATGAGTCTGCTGCCATCGATTCAACATCAAATTCGAGCACTCAATGGCTTCAACTCATAGCACCCAGGTCGACTTGACCACTTACCCACAGCAGCCTTCGGCCGCAACAACGGACATCGAAATACTACGCCAACACGAAGATGACAACCAACGTCTTAACGACGACAATGGCTTCTCTCTTCCGCCTACCGATGGTGGTAAGGATGCCTGGCTCTGTCTGTTCGCTTGCTTCATGCTTGAAGCCATGATCTGGGGGTTCCCTTCCTGCTACGGCGTCTTTCAAGAGTATTATGCTACTAGTGAGGAGTTCTCCGGTCAAAGCAACATCGCCGTGGTTGGCGCTTGCGCAATGGTATGTTCTATGGATCTTTGTTGGTTCCCATTCTGACATTACTCTAGGGCATCATGTACATGGACATCGCGTTCTGGTTCGCCGTGCTCAAATACTTTCCCAAATTCCGCATCTGGGCCACACCAGTCGGTCTAGTTGTCGTTTGCCTCGCTTTGGGTCTTGGATCGCTGTCGACAAGCGTAACGCACCTCATAATCACTCAAGGCATCTTGTACGCACTCGGCGGCGGCCTCGCCTGGACTCCAATCCTCTTCAACATAGAAGAGTGGTGGGTACGCAGAAGAGGCTTTGCCTATGGAGCCACCATGGCTGGTCTAGGATTGAGCGGGGCCATCCTTCCTCTTATACTCGAATGGCTTCTACACTCATACGGATTTCGGACGACTCTCCGAGTATGTGCGCTCAGCTTCGTGGCCCTGAACTTTCCAATAGTCTTCTTCTTCAAGCCTCGACTTCCACCATCGCAAACATCGCAGTCTAGAGGGTTTGATCTGTCGTTCTGGACATGTTCGAATTATCTCATCCTGCAATCCGGCAACATCATCCAAAGTCTTGGCTTCTTCCTACCAGCAATCTATCTACCCACGTTTGCTCGGTCCATTGGCGCAGGCAGCATCGAAAGTACCGTCACTATCATCCTCGTCAACGCCGCTGCGTTCGTCGGATGTCTATGCATGGGTATCGCTACCGACAAGTACCATGTCACGACCTGTCTTATGGTCTCCGCACTGGGGTCAACGGTCGGCATATTTCTCCTATGGGGGTTCTCTACATCACTAGCGCCATTGTACATGTTCTGCATTGTGTACGGTGCCTTTGCTGGCTGTCAATCGAGCGCCTGGAGTGCAATTGTCGCAGACACTCAAAAGAAGCGCAGAGGCGCGGATTCTGGCTTCGTATGGGCATGTCTATCGGCTGGAAAAGGAGTAGGCAACTTGTGCAGTGGTCCGCTCTCAGAAGCATTGCTACATGCTGGTGATTGGAGTGCAGGCTTTGCTTATGGTAGCGGATATGGCGCGTTGATCGCCTTCACAGGTGTGACTGCACTGTTGAGCGGCTGGGGATATGCTGCGAGGAGGATTGGATGGATATGATCCGATGCCTCTGGATGCCTGACGTAGTTCATTGCCGAGGTGTGCGTCCCGCACGGCAGTACGTCACACATCACGCCGTTACTACATTTCAAACACCAAGCAGGTCTCCCGATGCTCAAGTAGACGATGTGCCCGTTCCTGTTACAGAGCAACCATGGTCGGCATCTGGTTGCGCCAATCAGCTAGCGACATGCCCTCTTGGCGTCGAGGTACGCGTACGCCTGAAACAGACCCACCACTACCATCAACATGCGATCGGCCCTCCCGCTCGCATCTCGACCTCTCCCTCGAAACATGTTGGCTTTCTACCCAATCTATCCATG